ACAACATCGACAAAAAATCCATTGCCAAGTGACATTCTGAAGCGCCGTTTTTGACCCTTTTCCAAGCAATTGAATTGATTTCTGGCTGCCGAACACATTGGCACACCCAAAATAAAAAGAAAGAAAGACAGCCAAGAAAAAAGTTGAGGATGGAAAATGTGAGCCAGAAAATGGCAGCAGGACTGAGCGTATAACGACTCTAGTTGCCATTAGGGGGCCAAGGGATTACAGTTTGTGATTGGAAAATCTATGATGATCATTAATAAAAACAAGAGGACATTGTCGAAAATGCCAAACAATAACAAAAGGGCAAAGGACAGCTCTAATCAGGTCATCACGATGGCAAATTCAAATGCAGATGCTGCTTATTATCCTGTGAGCATGAGACTCTCTGCTAAGACCTGGTCTTGTGTGGCTGCACGGCATCTCATGCATTATACGCACCACTTTAGTCCTTGTAAATATTATTTTAATATCTTGTCAAGCAGCCAGATACCCCGCACATGCCTACAATGTGTCACACTCACACACACACACACATGCTCAGAGACTGGGTTTTCTTCGAGACTTGACTTGTTGTTGGGTCTTGCCTGGTTTCTTGCTGTTTTCATTCCGAGCCAAACTTTGTGCAACAAACAATGCTTCATTATAAGCTTCAGCGCCAAGGCCAGAGGTGATAAGCCCTGCCAGATTCAGGCAGTCTGCCAACCAACCAACCAACCAGCCAGCCAGCTAACCAGTCAGAATCAGGCAACTTCTCGTGTGGAGTAAACTTCATTTTATGTTTTTAGCTTTCACAGCCTCGCAGAACACTTACGCACACTCACACACACGCACACACACATGGCACTTGCTTGTACTTTGTATGAAATTTTACGAATATTTCATAATAAGAGTTATGTGTGTGTCCGTATATTTCGTGCTTGCGCTTCTTGTCGTACCGTGTCGCATCGTATCGCATGTTTTGTCAGCCGAAGTGGCTATGCAAAGACAAACAAACTAAAACAACAACAGCAAGAACAACAACAACAGCAAGACATGCAGCAGCACAAACAACAAAAGCATTGCGCAAAAATGTTGTCAATCAACGTTAAGGATAACAAGTTACACAAAGTCTAAGGACTACAGACAAAGACGAAAAACTGCTGAATACCTCTGAGTTTTTCACTCAAAGGGTTTCAAATACCAAGAAGCAAGTAAAATGCTTTATATTTTTTTAATATTTAAAGCATTCTACTTATAGTTTGAACAGGTGTTTAAATAATAAAACGGGAATTATCTGTTAATACTTTGGTATAGAAGGCGTGCCAGAATCTCAGCTTGAGGATAAATACATACGTTAGCCAAAAGACATATACATAAATGTCGCAAGCTGCTTAAAAATATAAATGGGCGTCACCGTATTCATTGTAAAAAATTATATAAATTCAATTTTTAAAACAAAATATATCCGCAAGCTGAAATAACAGATTTAAAAACTTATCTTTTAAACAACAGAACGGGAAACGAGTTATTTCTTGGATTAATCATGCGAACAATTGAAGCTCTTCCGATTGAAGCATTTTAATGAAGAGCATTAAAAATAATCAGCGCTGAGATGTGAATAAAACAAATATGACAGCTGTGCTGTCACCCCTACAGGCCATTCCACTCAGACACCCGCACACCCACACACACCTTCACATACCTGCTCACACACACACGTGTCACAGTAGCCACATTTCAATTTTCGCCATGTGCCATGTAATTTGCCTGGATAATTTATATGCATGCCGTTCGTATAGAAGATGCTCCCACATCAGGTTCAGGTTCAGGTTCAGTCGCGAGCCTCGAGTGTGAAATGAAATAAATTTTGCAGCATCATTTAAGCTTAATTAAGACGGCAGCCGCAACCGGCGAGAAGCAGCATCGGGCGCTGAATAAGAACGTAGAATGTTGGCAACAAAAGCCGCGCAATGCATTGCGCAGCACATAAATAAATGAGTAACTGAGTGGTTGAGTGGTTAAGTGGTTGCCAGCAGTAACAGCAGCTGCCGTCGATGCCGCCGCACCGCCGCCGACGCCGACGCCAAGGTGCCGATTGCGTGCCGCATGCATACTCGAGTGGCAATCAGCGTGTCGTCCAGTTTAGCTCCAATGACAGCTCATCGGCAACTTGCGAGTATTCGGCTGTACGCTGGATTTTCCGCCAACTCATGTTGCCACGCATAAAACTACTTAGACAATGTCAAAAGGCATCATTATTCATGCTGGCATGCACACGAGGCGCACATATACAATCCCTGCTCCCCTCTCCGACCAGCCAAGCCAAGTCCAATCAGAATAGCGCTCGTCATGCTGCGCTAAGGAGCAAATTAATAGCAGGGCAGGCACACATTGCCCACAAGGCAGGTCAATTTCTGGCGCCGCATGTTGATTTTTAATTACTCACACACACAGACACAAAATATCAAAAGCAAATGAAGTGTGCTGATATTGACTACAAATTCAATGCCATAAAACACAATTAAATGCGTCTAGAACTTGAGACCTCCATAAGCAGGCAATTACTAGGCTCGAAATTCATTGAGCTGTGGGTTCAAAGTGTTGCACATTACACATCATTTCACAGGAACAGGATCAAATTCCCAAAATTAACCATGTAACTTGTGCCAACAAAATTGACTGACTGACTTCAGAATACCCTGCCGATATGAAGTATATTAAAATAAGGCAGGGAAGATTTTTTTTCTCAGAAGCTTTTTCTGCGCTGCTTAAAAAATCCCAAAACATATTTTCATGTACAGCTTTTTTGCCTGTCCAAAGCACAACTATTTATCTTGCCTTGCAGGGCATAGAAAATATGCCCAACATAAAAGCAGGGAAATTACAAAAGTTTTCTTAATTGCTCTGCGCCAACGCCACGTCGCTCCACCCCCGCCGCATTGTCCTCGCAAATTGAACGCAAGTATGCAAAGTCATTGTATGAAAGGGCCGACTGGTTGCCTGCCTTTTTGTCTGTCAGTCAGTCAGTGGGCGTGCCGGGCCTACGTAATGATTAAGCAAACACTCAATCACCCCTTCCCATACACACACACACACACACACACACACACACACACATTCAATGCCAGCACACACTCACTGGCACACATGGGCCTGAAATGAAGCACATTCAGCGGAGGCAATTGAATTTGTTGTTTTTTTGCCAGCGCTTTATGCCCAACAGCTCTGCTTGACTTTAAAGCTGTTGCATCGTTGCTTCGAGATTTTTACAGAATATGTAGCATACTTTTGTGGGCTGCATTTTCATTAAAACTGAATGCAATATTTACAGAAAATTTGTGCAATTTTCTGTGCTACTGGTATTAAGCGTATTAAGCTTAAGCGTCTATCGTTTGTATGCCACGCCCCATGCCGCCTACTAGCCGGCAATTCATGCATACAAATGCGCGCCATATGCTGGCAACCTTTTGTTTAATGAAGCTGAAGTTGTAGGGCGACCATAGATGTGTATCTGTATATGTGCGTAAGACCCTATCTGCATGTGTGTGTGTGAGTCTGTGTGTATCTGTGTTGAAGGCGTGCATGTGGAAAAACAGTTTTCGAATGAATGCAAGTTTTAATCCTTGAAATATGATTTGAGTGCAAATATTTTGCATAACCATGAGCTCGACTCTTCCACACACATACACACACGCGCGCAGTCACTTGCGGTTTGCCCACGTGGGCGTGGCTTATGTGTGTGTGTGTCTGTGTGTGTAGATTTTGCCTGCCTCGTGATGTAAGCAGTGACACAATTTCGTTTTTATTCTGCGTGTATGTTCGTGTGTGTGTGCACTTGTACTTGCCAACCGCAAACACTTCACTCGCTTGAAGGCTGCCCTCCGTGCCTGGCCCAACAGGCCAACAGATGAACATATCTCGCTCCTGCTTCTACTCCGGCTACCGCTGCCCAGCCCAGCGTATATCTATGCCCCTTGCATTCCGTGTGCTTTCATTTTTGCAGCTGCTTGCGGTTTTCAAATGCATTTGCCCCCGCATTCGCTGATGCTCTTTTCGTGGTTCAGTGGTTCATTTCTAAATTGAAACTAAAGAGTTGCCAGTGGCTACCATTGTGGCCACTTGTGCACCTTTCGACCGCTGCAGCGGCAGCATCGGGCCCTGCGGGCTTAATGAACAACGTTTTTTTGTTGGCCTAAGCCGATGACAAAAGTCAGGCGGCAGCCTCCAAGCTGACGAGTGCTGTCAAAACTTAAAGTATGTACCCATGCTCACTTCTGACGTTTTTCTGATTTTCACAGATGTGTATTTCTTGTTTATTTTAGTTTTTTTTTGCTGTCGCTTGCTGCAAAAAAAAAGTGTGCACTCTGAAAAGTTGGTTTAGTTGTTTTTTTATTTTCGTGTTTTCTCCACTTTTGTCAACGAGTTTTTAATGTTTTGTGACGAGCGACGACAAAAACTACTAAAAAGCACACTCGGACCTACACAAAATGAAACTCCAGCTCACGTATGTCTCTGCAAATAGACACATTTGACAAAGCTCATCTCTCGGGAAGTAAAAGGTAAATTCACAAATGCTAGTAACATTTTTTATCATTTTAAGTCTTGAAGAGTGTATTGCTTTAACTAGGAATTGCGGAAATTTACAGGCCAAAAGTAAAACCTCAACTCCGGTTTTAGACGAAGTTTATATAAGGAATAGGTTGAAAATAACATATAATAAGATTAAATAGAAATCAGTGAACTTTTTACCATACATTTTTAATCCAGTTTCTATTTAAAGACCAAAATATGATAAAAATTTAACTAGGCATAAAAATATCCCTTTTTTGGCAAAGCTGCGGAAAGGCATTTAATATAAAAAATCAAACTTTATTAAATTCTTTAAATTTTACTGCAAATTTAAAGCCACAAGTTAAAAGCCAGAAAAGGTTTTAAGTACCAAATTGTGGCTATAACAATTTCCAATGTGAAATATATTTATAGATTTTCAATTTACTTTGGCGAACTCGTTGCAGATATGACAAATGGCGGCGTGCATGGACCCATCGAGGGCTATAACTCGTTGGATGAGCTGACTACAATGCCGGCAGGGCTGGCCACGATGCCCACCGCCGCCTACACGCATCCCAAATGGATGGAGCCATATTTTGATCCCTCAACGCCACGCAATGTCACCGCCCTCATGGGCAAATCCGCGTATCTCAGTTGCCGCGTGCGCAATTTGGCCAACAAAACGGTGAGTGAAGACGGCAGATGACTGAAACTTTTCGGCTGTTCGTGACGATCCGCCTAGCCTTTAAAGTTTCTGACATTACCCCGTCCCCAATGTGTGTATCTCTCCCTCTTCCGCTCGCCACACTTTTCTACCTTACCTGCAACCCCAACTACTAGAGTATTCTACATGCGCGCAGCTTTACTTGTGCTTGTTGTTGACTTCGTTGATTTGGCAACCTGGTCGGCAAAATGTAATTCCCCTAGCATGACTCCAAAATTTTTAATTAGTTACACGCCCAGCTCAACAAAATGGGCATATTTTTTGTTTGTTTTTCGATTTTTTGTTTTGTTTTGTGTATTGTCTGCGACGTGCTGGGCAGGAGTGAGAGTAAGGACCTTTTCTTGCTGGCAGCTTGGGCGCGACCTGCGTCCTAAGTCCGCATTAAGTTGTTTTGCTTTCAGAAATTTAGAAATTTTTGTATTCTGTTCTGTAAGCGCGACTGTTATTGCATTTGTTGCCTTTGTTTATCTGCTTTAATTGCGCCCCGCCACGTTTTCCCATCTATTTAGGAGACAGCCTGCCAGAACGTAGCTCCCATGGCAACCTGCTGCTCCCATTGAAGTTGTTGCCCGTTGTGCTGCTTATTTTCGCTGCTAAGAAGAAGCTCACGTAAAAGCTGATTGATTTCGACTGCTAGATACCCTGTGCATCGATTTTTATATGTCTGTTGTCAAGAATAATCACTTTGAAGCATTTGACCGTCAGCTACCCTGTATTTACTTCTCACATTCGAAGAAAATGAACACAAATATATATTATTATGAGTAAAGATAGAGAATTAACGCTCAAAATCGGATACATCCACGCTTTCCAGTTTACAACTTTACTAATTACAGGGTATAATTACCAGTGCCTGTCACTCTGGGGCAAATATTTGCATACTCGTATGGCAACATTTTTAATTTGGCATTTTTTAAACATTTAAATAGCAACAGGACTGTCGTTCTCTATAAATATACATTTAAAAGAAAAATTGTTGTGCAAATATAAAATTAAATGTATGACTGCCGCCCAGGCGGCATGGGCGAGACAATTTTTATCGGGTGCTCTGAACTTTTTTAATATGCGTGACAGACAAGTTTATGAATAATTAGTCAACGACAGTGTTGCGCAGTGCGATTAATCACAGGAGTACCCCAAAGAGCAGCAGCAGCGGGAGCAGCACGTGCACGCCGCGGGGTGCATAAAAAGGATGGGTGGGGGAGCAAGAGCTTGCCAAAGGATTCGAACGCTCATTAACAAACAATGCGTCGCACGCGGTACTAAGGCAAACAAACAGCGCTCCAAATGCCAAAAACCAACAAACTTTTAGCACACGCGCCGAACTACCGAGCACTTGACACAAATGCGCCAGCGGCAGGAACAGGCAGCAGCAGCAAGAGTGAGTGCAGCGGGAGCAGGAGTTGCGCCATCACAAGGACTTGCAGCTTGCAGCAACTTTTAATTTCTTGGCAACACACAAAAGCGTCGAGAGGCAACCGGCAGCCGGCTTTGGGCGGGCAGCCCTTTTTCACGCTGGCCACGCCCCTGCCATGGGGCTGCCACAACACTTGCAATTGCATTTAAGCGCGAAATTATTTAAACAATTTCGTGAAAATTGCACTCGCCGCACGCGTCAACAGCACTTGGCGCAGTCCGAGCCCAGAAAACCAAACAACAAACCGAAACCAACTCAGCAGGACACGCTCTGCGAGTGTGCGTGTGCGTATGTGTATGCACGCAATTGGGTGTGGGGTGTGGCATGTGTGTGTGTGTGTGTGTTACACTAGGGGCTCGGCTGCTAATATGCCGGGTAGGGGGAACAGAAAAAGGGGAGCAGCATGCACTGGGACACTGTCAGGCGAGTGCGTGTGTTGCTGTTGGAGCACAGCGTGCACTTGTTAATTACACTTTAATTTGTTGCGTAAAATGTTTGTATAATGGCAGCCCCTGTCGACATGTTTTTCACACTTTTATACACTCATTGCGGTCCACATGCGTCGCACAAAACTGCCAAACTGGGTGCTCGACAATCCACAGCCCGGCTGTTGGCGGTGGGGACCATTGTTTAGTATGCAACAACATTTCGTATAATTAAACGCACGCACCAAAATGTGCCACGCCCACCATAGTCAATGGTCTGGGGGCTTGAAGGCAGCTGTAGGCAACATTTTCGCAAGTTTTTGGAGCACGGCGCCTGGCAAGTGCGATAATTTTGCATTTACATTTGACTTTATAAGTTGTGCATATCAAGTGTCAGACAGAGAGGGACAGATAGAGAGAGAGCGAGAGAGAGGGAGAGACAAGCTCCTGTTTAGCGTGCAGCTTATAAAGTTATATCTCAGCGCTGCAACTACTCAAAAAGTTTGTTATAATTAAGCGAAAGCTAAAACAACTCAAAACTCACCAGCAGCAAACCCAAAAAGGCAACCACACTCCCAATGGGACACACACACAGACACAACCACACTTCACGACACACACACACGAGCAATACTCATGCCCAGATTTCTCAAGGATTACGGTCTGGCCATAAACTTGCCCAGGCCCATCTCATGTGCAGCACATCACGTTGCGCATACGTCATGTATTCCGGCAACATTGAATGAGATACGCGCCCATTAACAATACGAGAATACGCAATGGCTGCTGATTAATCGCTAAAGGACACCGAAAACAAAGACCTGAAGAGCCCTGCAGAGCACTTGCGTATTTCATTCGATTTTGATTGCACTGCGACGGCAATTCGTTTTTCAATTGCTGCATTTTTAATGCCTGCTTTTTACCTCTGGCCATAAACAGCAAGATTTTGGATTGGTATACCCAGCTGCTGTTAGAGCTTGAATTGAAAAGGGTATGTTGATTCTGTAGGCACAAAGGATAAAGAGAAATTAAAAATCTAGATCTAAACCTTTGTTCCTTTGGTAATCAATCTTAGAACAGGTTAAGGAACTCTAGAATAATCGTATGTTCCCTCTGCATAGTTTACAAGCCTCTCCACTCACTGTTACTACGACTACTCGAGCATATTCCCATCCAATACTTCATGCTTTATAACACCGCATAGCTTCATTTGATTGACACTTTGTGCAATATCCTTGTTTGCTTTTACTTTTTTTGCGCGCAGGTCTCCTGGATACGGCATCGGGACATACACATATTGACAGTGGGCTCCTATACGTACACGTCCGATCAGAGGTTTCAGGCCACACATCATCAGGATACCGACGACTGGACGCTGCAGATAAAGTGGGCCCAAAAGCGAGATGCGGGCATGTACGAGTGCCAGATATCAACGCAGCCCGTTCGCAGTTATTTTGTACGTCTGAATGTTGTCGGTGAGTATACGAGTCTAAGTATGTGAATACTGTCCGCTCCCACTACTAGTTTGGGTTTGAGTTGAGAGTAGCGGCTCTGGCTTTAGCTTCTTAAAAAAAATCAACCATTTGTCGCAAATAACAAAGCCAAAGGACACTCGCGCCACCAAGGCAAGCAAAAAAGTTGTTGAGCAAATAAATTACATACAGCAAACGAGTGAGCAACACGCACAGCGCCGAGGACGAAGGCGGCAGCGAGGAGCGAGGACAACTGGTCGACTGGAGGGCGATGGAACGTCGAGGACTTGGTTTTTATACGACAATAATTTCATTTTATCTTGTAGTTTATTATTCTACAGTGTCAGCCAGGCTTTCAGCCTCCGAGCCTCCTACCTAGGCGGCCAGCCTGTGTCTGCCTCATTTTAACAACGTTTTTCAAGCATTTCTTCTTCTTCTTATGCCCCCTCTATTTTCTTCTTCTCTTATTTTTTCGGTGACTCGTCTGCGTTTTTCATTGGTGCTTCCTGTTGACAGTGCCAACGGCGACCATACTTGGCGGACCTGACCTTCACGTTGATAAAGGCAGCACCATAAATCTCACTTGCACTGTAAAGTTCAGCCCCGAGCCGCCGGCCTACATCTTCTGGTACCATCACGAGGAGGTAATTAAACTTTATTGTTGCAATTGTACCGAAAATTCGGAGTTCTTTTTAATCTTTTTGTGGTGACTATTTTGACAGTCGGCATGACTGGCAGTTAGCCCAGTTGTTAAACTAATTTTTTTCGTTACACTTTAACTTGAACAAGCAGACGTTTAATCGAAGAAAAGAGAAGTCATAAATAACGCTCTTTAAAAGTATTAATTTTTTTATTTAACAATTACAATGTCAATCGATATATTCCGATAACATGTCGAAAATGTATTTGAACATTCTCATGAAATTTTAACGATGAATTTATCGCTATAAATGCCTGTTGCTGTCAACTGTTCTGATAGCGAATGTTTTCTCCGTTGCTTCAATATCAAACTGACTCCGATTGACCAACGCCTCAGCACTCAGTCCGTGCTGAAAGGATTCTTAATTCGAGGAAGCACTCGACTCACCTCGTGTCCAGCTTACGGACGTAATTTAAAGTGTCAGCCGTTGATATTTTAATGAGTAAATCAACTCAGTTGCATGTGGCAGCCAAGTGGGTCAATGGCGTTTCAGTGGCACGCACTGTTAATACCTTTTACAGCTGCTTTTCAGCTGACAAGCAACAGGGAAACATGAAAATCAGCTGAACATGGAAACAACAGGCTGGCTGGTCAGCCAGGTGGTTGCATTATCCCGGTACGTGCTTAACCCGCGCGCTGTTGGCCGTCAATTAGTTGTGTTAGTTTCAAGCGATTTACGCAGCATAAACAGCCTGGCTAATTGCGCAGCATTAAAAGCGCTTAAAGCGCTCCAGGAGCAGTGCCAGGGGGAGTAACAGGGAAGGAGAGAGAACAGGAAAGAGAACGATAGAGAGCGAGAGTACTAGACGTGGTCGTTATAGTGCCCAGCTAATTGCAATGCAAATGCCAAACAAAACAGCAAACGAAAAAATGTAGTAAAAAAAATGGAACTTGGGCAAAAGTCGAGGAGAAGGCGAATTTGCTGGCAACGTGTTAAAAGTGCACAAATCCTGCTGCCAACTGCTGTTGCAGTCGCTGCCGCTGCCTCTGCCGGCGCTGCTGCTGCTCACTTTTAGCTGGCACTTGTATTTCTGGAATTTTCTAATTAAAATCCTTGCAGCGCCACGCGCCACAATTGTGTGCCTCTGGCAGGTGGCCTTTCCAGTGTGTGTGTGTGTGTGTGTGTGCTGTGCCGCAACCTTTGCACAAGTTGGCGTCCTTGCCCATGCTGCACACGGATTATTTACGATCCATGCAAATTTGCTGTTAATTAGTTTAATGGATGGATAAACTTAGTTGATGCACTTGCTCGTGCCAGGCGCTTAAATGTATGCAACACTTTTTGCCCGCGCACATCCGCTTGCTAATTGTAATTAACGTGTTACATATTTCCTCTTTCAGTGTTAGCTCGCCTGACCCGGCCGGCCTTCCTACTCTGTGCCGCCATTTCCGCATTGGCTTCTGGCATATGTCGGTCTAGCACCCGGTTCGCTCATGAAGTTGCCGTAAATTGTGGCCTGCCTTAAGTTATTTAAGAGGACCTAAAACGATTAGCCGCTAATAGTTTTACTAAGCCCAGATTTGGTTCCCTTCACTGGTATAAATACCAACACTTTTTCTTGGGCAGCCCTCGCAGTTGTTGGCATAGTAATGTGCATATAGCGCTTAAATGTGCGGTCGGTGAAAGTTCCGTGAGCTGTTGAGTGGACTTAGCCAGCTATTAGCTGGCTGTCAAAGCAGGCTTTAGTCAAAGTCCACGCCTACAACTGGCAACTGGCAACTGTTTCGTCTCCGAGTCGAGCATTCGTGCTGCATTGTATTATCCTGTTGTTCTGCGCCCTCCCGCCCCCCGCCGATCAGATAATGTATCAGACTTTTATGCACATTTAACTGCTTTGGTTTTTTTCTTATGCTCGATTATTGTGTTGGCAAGTGCCACATAAATCGAATGTATGCGCATTTTTAGCAGGCGGCGCTTGGCAAAAAGATTTTTGATTTTATTTTTGTGTCCGAAACAGCTGCACTCGTCTATGGGTAGTAAAAATTGTACATATTTGATGCAGCTCTGTCGCAAAAACGATTTTTTTCCAATTCACGTAGCCGGCAAAGGCAGATTCACTGGCTGCCAGTTTGCCATTCGGCATTTACCAGTCTGCCAGTCTGTTAGCTGGCTGTCGGGATGTCGGGCTGTCTGCCTGTCACAGTAAGCCGTCGCTTTCATTAACCAATTTGCAAGCAACAAAAACGGCAACAACAACGGGTGGAGCAAAGGCAACTACAAACATTATAATACAAATACGAAATTTATGCTGATAGCGACGACAGCAATGGACTATAATGGCAACCAGACTTTCGTTAGTTTCTGCGCCCCCCCATCCCCGGAACTCACCCCGCCAGTCGCTGTTGATAGGCAAACTTTTAACTTGCCTGTGCGCAAAAGTTGTTATGCCAAAGTTTCGGGCATTGTCATTGTTTTTTATATGTCTATCCACATTTTCATACCTCCAGCTGTATGCTATATGCCATGGCCATGACTAGGGCAATAGCTACAGCTACGGCTGCATGTACGTTTCCCTATCGTCATCATTATCAGTGACGCCAACTTTTCTTTCATTTTTCATATTATTGCAAATGCCGTCGATTAGTTGAGATTAGAGAGCAAATTATGCGTCCTGCCCTGTCCTGACCTCTGAAAGGGGGGGCATAACAGCTGCTCATTTCCGGCGGCTCTGTTGTTTCTTCCATTTTCTTGTCGCTGTCAACGGCATGATGTGTTAATGTCAGCTACTTGCTCTCTGCGCTCTGCCCTTAGTCCTTTACTCTTCAGCTCTCTCTCTCTCTCTCTCTCTCTCTCTCTCTCTCTCTCTCTCTGTCTCGCTCTCTTTCTCTGTGTATTGGTATTGGCAAATTATTCCTGGTATTTGTTTTTGTCATCGCTTTGAGCATTCGCTTCATTTTGTGACTCAATATGCATCTGGATTTGGCCGCTGTTAGCAGCAGTCGACATTTGACATTTGCCCTGCTGCTACCCCCAACAATAATCGATAATGAAGTTGACTTTGAGGGCGGCTGACTATCGCACAGATTGTCAGCAGCGCCATCAGCATCATCATAATGAGCCATCGTTCGAGCCAGTTGCTTTTGGCCCAAAGTGAACCCGAAGCTGGCCCCCCGCCCGCTTGATTAACATAATTTTTGTAGCTAACTAGTACTCTCGCCCTCACTCTCTCTTTCTCCTTCTCTCTCGGTCATCTTATCCCTGCGCTGGGAACTAAAGATCCTTTGATATTAGCTCTGTTAAGTCAACTTTAATCATGCGCCCGGCCATCAAATTCCAATTAAAATCGCAATTTTAAACGCATTTTCGGCTGTACGGCTGACGCCTGGCGGGGGGAGGGAGGGTACATTACTGAAAAGTAAACAAGACGCGCTGACATGTCGCTGATTTGTAATGTCAGTCAAGCGCAGCTGTTGCTACGCATCACACACTGCCGTCAGCCTCTCCCCCTGCCCACTGTGCTGTCACACGCATTTGAAAATTACAAAACAATAATACGATATTTGAGCATCAGCGTTAAGCAACACATTCGAAAAAAATAAATAAAACAAGCGGAGGGCACTTGCTTATTATTATTTGCCAGCAGCAGAGTTCTTAAACAGACAGCAAAAAACAAAAAGAAAGTAAAAAACAAAGAACAACATTTACTGATCCCCTCATTGTTCTCACATTATGTGCTGCTGCTGTGAGGGGGCTTCCTCTGCTCTGCCTACACTCACACACACTTACTAACCCGGCCTTTTGGCGTAATGCTCTTCCATTTGCAGGTCATTAATTATGATTCATCAAGAGGCGGCGTGTCGGTAATTACCGAAAAGGGCGATGTGACAACCTCATTTCTGCTCATACAGAATGCAGATCTGGCCGATTCCGGCAAATACTCGTGCGCCCCCTCGAACGCAGATGTTGCCAGCGTGCGTGTGCATGTTCTAAATGGTAAGTACCTACCAACACTACTAGTGCAATACACATACACTTACACACACACGAACACCTACACACTAATACCCTAATGTATGTACGTGCACCTTCTGCCTGTGCGATTTGCAAAAAGTGTTGCATGCTTTTAGGCGCCGCCCGTAGCAGTACAACAACAGCTTAAACATCTAGACTGTGCTCGGCTACAAATGTCCTGTAAAAACAGGAAACGGTTATTGGTTTGTATATATAACATGGTAAATATGTATATATATACAAAAAATGGGTATCTTTTCGTAAAATAAGTATTAATAAACTTATTCAGTTAGTTAGTTATCTTAATGAGGTAGATTTTGTGTGGGCTAGATTCAAAGCACAGCAGCAAAATTACAGGGCATTAATGAAGCACATAACGATAATTGCTCAGAAGCGTTACATTAACTGCCAAAGTGGCAACCGAGGCTGCAGTAGTCATGTTGCATGCCGATGTTTTTGGCATTTTAGCAAATTTGTGTGCGATTTCCAATGCTGGGTGTAGGGGTCCAAGGGGGGGACAAGGCTTTTGGGCCCATGGCCAGCAATTGCGAATATATCCATGACAGCCCAGCGGCGGCCGCACCGGTGGGTCATTTTATGAAGTCAAATGGTGCGACGGTGTTGCATGCTCTTGGCATATGATTGACGTTGCCTCGGGCAAGTGGCAAGCAGCAAGCGGCAGGCGGCAAGTGGCAATTGAAATAGCAAAGACAATAATGACAAATCAGCTTGAGGCAAACGACGCACATTGGCTTGGGTAGGCGAATGTGGATGCCGTTGCGGATGTGGATGTTGAAGCTGCGCATAACTGCCACAAAACGCTACATCCGCCTTCAATTTGGCACAGTTCCGGCGTCTTGTGGCGACAAGCTGAGTAATTCGTCGGAAATATATATAAATGGTGGAAGATGCCTGTTCAATGCGCTTGATTTCCACCAGGACTGGCCACAAAGAACTGCAGCACATTAATGTAGAGCAGTAATGCCAAGGAATATGGCCCGAATGTTTTTGGGGTCGTCGCCTGATATTGCCCCAGGCGCCAGTTGTTGCTTCACAAATGAAACACATAATCGCATCAATTATGAGCAAATTAATTAGCACACTGCGGTTAATTGCAGCCAAACGAGCGACGAGCAGCGTCGACGACGACGACTACGACGAGGACGATGGCGACCTCGACGAGCCACCAGGCACCAGCCACTAGGCGGGCAAGTGAGTGGCAGCTTGGTTCTGCAACGGGGTTGACCATCGGGGCAAGGACTTATACGGATGCGAGCGACGTTAACAAATTGCAATCGGGACCTGGGACGACTGGCAAGGAATTGTTGCAATTTGCCAGCATAATCGCTGTCGATTGGCGTGGATTTGACACAGTTAAAATAAATTACGTAATTGTGAAAGGAAAACAACAACAACATGAAGTGCAACCACACAACAATACAATGCCACTGACAGCACACAGAATGGCATGCAATTTAAGCCGGTCCACAGCTGGCAATGGACTGGGCCTGAGGTTAGAGCCGTGCCGACCATGCCCCGTCTACCCAGCTGGCACGTTTTTCAATCATGCTAACGGCGCCAGGGCGACCATAGCCCCCCTTTAGCTGGCCTGTCCCTCGCCCTCGCCCACAGGCCGGTTGCCCGCAGGCCGCAAATGGACCGCAAATGGCAGCGTGCGGAAATCTATGCTGCAGCTTTTGTAAACGTTTGCCAGCCATTATGCATGAATGCATAGAAATACGTAGTGTCACACTTATACGAACACACACTCACACACACACAGCGGTGCGCATGCAGGTGCACATGGGCGGCAATAAAATAATGAAGTGGCAGGCAATGCAAACGACCCACAGGCCACACTCTCACAATCCAAATACCACAACAACAAAAAAAAACAAAAAACAATGCTCTACCGTTTTACAATATAACGAAACGATTGTACTCTGCCCAGTTTGTATAATGGACTTTTGTTCTTATACTAAATAGAAAAACTATTTTGATTCAAATATAAATTTTGAATAGTTCTGCTTTGAGGACATAGCAGAATAATTCCAAAATAGACAACACAGAATATGTAGGGAACATAACTAAATTGATCAAAACCCAAATTTAAAGTTCATTCAAATAATATTGTAAATATGTATTTACTCTATTGAAGGGCATTTGAAAGTCTGATTGTTTTCCACTATTTTTTTGTGGTTACGTTAGCTTGAAATTATGTTGTGTAATGCTCAGAAGCAGATCAATTGTGGTCACAACAGTTTATTTCGTGACAATTTTAAAGCATTTTAAAACAACTTCAGCAAATATTGAATAATAAATTCAGTTTAGGGACTTTCATTTAATTTTCATATTAATGCGAGGCCATCTAATATATTCACTGCTCAGACTTTACATATATAAAAAGTATTCCATTCAAATATGCAAATTTTGTATTTTGTGTGCCAAACGTGCGATGGTGTCTATTGTTGTTGCTGTGCTGCTGATTGACACCACAACCAATGGCATTTCATGGCTAAGTCGATGACTAACAACAGCAAAATCAGGCTGACCCTTATAACTTCCCAGCAGGAGTGCGGGTGGTTGTATGTCTATCTGTGTGCGTGTGTGTACGTGTGTGTATGTAGGGGTTTTTGGGCAACAATGTGGCTGCGTTTGCTGACAGCCACTACAATTCACGCGTTAATGGCATCGGCATCAGCAACAGCAAGAACAACAGGCCCAACAACAGGGCAGCCCACAAGTTGTGACAGGCAAACAAAACGCAGCCTTCTCTTTGGCCAGCGTGCAACGTGGACATGGACGTGGACGTGAATGTGGACGTGGCCCAACTTGTTGTCCCTGACTGACATACAGATGCCGGTCATGTCACTACGCAGTTGGCATAACAAACTGCAACAGATAGACAGACGACGAGGCAGCAGCAAAGCGGCTGAGAAGCAAAAGGCAAGCACAGGCACAGCGTTCTGAAATTTTTCAGGGGGGTAGCGGGCGGTCTGTGTGGCATGCTACACGCTTATTGCCATACAAAGTTATGCGTAATACTCGCTCGGAGTGGAACGTATTTAACTGGATCCAAAAAGCCAATGTATGCAGGCGTATCAATAGTGTGGGAATGACCAACATACAGCCCTTCTCTCTCTCTCCCTCTCTCTCTTTCAAAATCTCTCGCTTTGTCTCTTTTCTCCGACTAAGCCAAGAAACACTGCTGCAGTTTCATTTCCAGTCAATCTGTGTATGGGCACTGGTGTCTGAATTTGAATGCCTCTCGACAAACTTACACTGTGCAACACGAGCCTTGTTTTATTCAGTTTTGTTATATTTAATTGAGTTTCATATAATTTTTGAATCAAACGCAAAACAAACAACTAATTTTAAACTTTTGAATACCCTGCAGCCAGAAAAAAATCAGTAAATTTAGCCATGTGTTTTTACTCTCCATTTATTCCTGGAATAATATTAAATATGAATTTTGTCTATTTATTTTCAGTTTTAAATTGCTATTTAACATTAATGCGCCCTTTGAAAACCCCCATCCTAACTTATTTCTAATAGATTTAAAATATCATTTATAAACTTTTCGCATATCCTGGATTATCCAAAATGCGAAAATGTGTTATATGGGTCGAAACTAAACTGAAACCACAAACAAAAAAAAACTAAATTTAATTGAGCAGAAAACCCAACGAAAGGTTTGTGTGTGCAATTCAAATGCTTAAAATGGAATGGATGATTAAATTGAATTTCTAACCACTGTGCGTTGGCTTGCCTGGCTGTTAAACTGGCAACTGATGCTGCACAACAAGTGGGGGCAGGCAGGCAATCGGCTATTGAATTCAGCTTGATTTAGCCTTGATGTTGCTTCCACCTGCTTAAATCGCTGTGACGGCTCTTCAATTTGGCTTAAAATTGAGCATAATGAAAATTTGCAGCCGCTGCGTGCGGCACGCTCTAAAACCCCCGCTACTGCCCCTTGCCCCCTTGCCACGTTGCCAGTGCCTAGTGCGTGCCCCATTCAATTAATGTCGTTGCTATTTTAGTAGTTTGGCGCATGTGGCAGCTGTTGCGGTTATTTGTGACCTGGCAGTAAAAGAGGTTTGGGTTTTTCGGTGGGTGAGTTTGGATTTCGGGCAGATCCATGCCCGATTTCATATTGATATTTGTGTGACAGGGCACAAAGTCTTCGTCGGGGCGCAGTTTACACTTGAGAAATCAAACGAAAGCCCCTGACCGAATACATATCACATGCGATGGCAATCAGACCCAGGACAAATGTCCTGCCAGCTGCTGCCGCTGCCGCTGCTGATGCTGTTTGCCAGCAACAACAAAAGTTCAACTTTCGATTTATTTTTTGCCAGTTTGAAATTCCTTGGCTATTTATTGTAGCACTTTTGTTGTCTCACAGCATTTCCTGTGAGTCCTGGCTTAACAGCTACTCCAGCCAGTGCAGCACCTGCAATAAGGCTCGCTACGCTTTCCGGGTCGCCCATCAAATGCCAAATGCCAAGGAGCTATCGGAGACGCAAAGCCTTGACCTGAACCTACGCTGGAGCTGCCTACTAAGACAACGGACTCAGTCAGTCCAGTTCTCATGGTTCTCTGCACGTATCGAAGTCAGTGGCGACCAAGACCACTCCCCTTCCTTCTTTCTTCCTCCCTCTGTCACCCTTCCGCCTTGAGCCGCACTGCCACACACAGAAATCCTTTGGCCAACTTTGGCTCAAGCTGCAACGTATATGTGTGTGGGGATTAGCTTTGTATTTTGTCACAGGAAATTACATTTTGCCTTAAGGATGCCAGAGCGCAAAAATTTCGTTTCATTGTTTGCGCGTGTGTTTATGGGTGTATATGTGTGTGTGGATGGGTGGAGTTGAGGATCGTTGTCCAAAATGAGGTGCATGTCCTGCGCTTAAGGATTGCGACTACGACTACGAGTAAAACTATGTTGTCCTACTATCTAATCGAGTGTACGTGTACAAATG